TCAAACAGTGAAGAGGATCCCAGAAGTGTCTAGTTCAGGCGACCTTCTCACATGTCCCTCCTGTTTTTCATCTGGTTGTGTGTGAGAGAGGATAAGGCATGTTTTTGGTTATGTTACTAAAATACAGCGACCTCTTTGTGTTTCCCTTCTCCTCAGAAAGTGACAATACTGACCTATTCTACCAAAATCCCATCTGATAATCCATTACATGGATTTCTAATTTCCAGGTGGCATTTATACTCACTTGTTCCTCTGATGTCCATGACGTTTTTTATCAGATTGGCATCAGATGAGTCAAATGTTGTCTAAATTTGCCTAGAGATTAGATACAGACATTTATATTCTACTGAGGCTCATTCATTAGTGGCATCACTACCAGCATGATGAAGGTTGAATTTGGGTGGAATACATTGTGAATTAAACATCTTGTCAAAAAACAGAGATTTGAGTTTGATTAGGTCACTCCTTTTAAGGCAACCAATACAATGTGTATAAATAAAACATATATTTAATGTGTAAATTCTAGTTTTGCAGTTTCATCAGTAGAAGACAATGACTCTTATGTTTTATTAGCAGACCCATTATAGCTGATATATACACTCACCAGCCACTTTATTAGGTACCCCGTGCTAGTAACGGGTTGGTCCCCCTTTCGCCTTCAGAACTGCCTCAATTCTTCGTGGCATAGATTCAACAAGGTGCTGGAAGCATTCCTCAGGGAGTTTGGTCCATATTGACATGATGGCATCACACAGTTGCCGCAGATTTGTCGGCTGCACATCCATGATGCGAATCTCCCGTTCCACCACATCCCAAAGATGCTCTATTGGATTGAGATCTGGTGACTGGAGGCCATTTGAGTACAGTGAACTCATTGTCATGTTCAAGAAACCAGTCTGAGATGATTCCAGCTTTATGACATGGCGCATTATCCTGCTGAAAGTAGCCATCAGAAGTTGGGTACATTGTGGTCATAATGGGATGGACATGGTCAGCAACAATACTCAGGTAGGCTGTGGCGTTGCAACGATGCTCACTTGGTACCAAGGGGCCCAAAAAAGGCCAAGAAAATATTCCCCACACCATGACACCACCACCACCAGCCTGAACCGTTGATACAAGGCAGGATGGATCCATGCTTTCATGTTGTAGACGCCAAATTCTGACCCTACCATCCGAATGTCGCAGCAGAAATCGAGACTCATCAGACCAGGCAATGTTTTTCCAATCTTCTATTGTCCAATTTCGATGAGCTTGTGCAAATTGTAGCCTCAGTTTCCTGTTCTTAGCTGAAAGGAGTGTCACCCGGTGTGGTCTTCTGCTGCTATAGCCCATCTGCCTCAAAGTTCGACGTACTGTGCGTTCAGAGATGCTCTTCTGCCCACCTTGGTTTTAACGGGTGTTTTTTTTTGAGTCACTGTTGCCCTTCTATCAGCTTGAACCAGTCTGGCCATTCTCCTCTGACCTCTGGCATCAACAAGGCATTTCCGCCCACAGAACTGCCGCTCACTGGATGTTTTTTCTTTTTCAGACAATTCTCTGTAAACCCTAGAGATGGTTGTGCGTGAAAATCCCAGTAGATCAGCAGTTTCTGAAATACTCAGACCAGCCCTTCTGGCACTAACAATCATGCCACGTTCAAAGTCACTCAAATCACCTTTCTTCCCCATACTGATGCTCGGTTTGAACTGCAGGAGATTGTCTTGACCATGTCTACATGCCTAAATGCACTGAGTTGCCACCATGTGATTGGCTGCTTAGAAATTAAGTGTTAACGAGCAGTTGGACAGGTGTACCTAATAAAGTGGCCGGTGGGTGTATTTTGCACCCACTGCTTCAATTAGTTTAACACAAGCAATTCCCTTTGCACCTGATTTTTAGATTGGCTTTTGTCATGCAACAGGTTTGGACATGTTTTTAAACCCTAAATGTTATAGCTAGCTACATAACACTATTAAAGCAACATGAAAACATAGGACCAGAGAAAATGTTTTCGCACCATGTCAGTAACCCCATTCCAGCTAGACTTTGACCTAGAGCTTTTTGATTGGATCACTGCATCTCCATGTACTTTACTTTTGGACCAGTCCTCTATTCGACACCTCCAGTTGGTACAAAAGGCTGCAGCTTGTTAATTGACTGGTGCAAAAAGAAATACGCACATTGACTCAGTAATGGCCTCCCTTCACTGGCCACCAGTTTCTTATAGAATTCATTAAAATTGTACTTTTGTTATTGATTCTTTACATGCTCTTGCCCCTTCTTATCTATCTCAACTGCACTGTAATCATGTTCCTAAAAAAAACCGTAAGGTCTATGGCTCAGTTAATGCTGCCTAAACACAGCCTTTGCTGTGCCTTTTGACTATAAAAATACACAAACTGTAGATATTATATCAGTTTTGAGGACTAATGTTTTGGTACACAATTACCTAAATGCTGTTGTTTCTTAGATAGTTGCTCTTTTTTTTTTTTTTTTGCTTTGCTATTATGTCTTTAATTCCAGTGGCTGTTTGTAGCAACTTTCTTTGTGTCATTCTTGTATTTCTATTTATGTGGTTGATCTTTTTTTTTCATTTTTGTCTCGTGCTACATTTGTTTTAAAACCTATATATTTTGTTTTTAAATCACTTTGTGCAGCTTTTCCTGTTGGAAATGTGCTTTACTGTATATATACAAAAATATGACCTTGACTTCAGTGTTGTAGTACTCGAGATCGGTCTTGGTTTCGAAACCGGTCTCGAGACATTTTTTGATGGTCTCTGTCTCGTCTCGGACTTGACCACATTTGGTCTCGGTCTTGTCTCGGTCTCGGGCGCTGAGGACTCGGCATTTTATTTCAAGACCGGTCAAGACCACAACTGTGGAAATAACGCTAATCATCGGAATATTATCAGTTTCTTTAAGATCCTTCTTTTTATTGGATGCTTGGATTCAAATCCAAGCAATAACCTGTCTCATTGGCAAATGCATGTTTTTTTTTGTTTTTTTTTACCGCTGTTACGCCCACCCCCTTTCACCTGTGCGCGGGCTGCAGCACTTTGATTGAAAGTCACAATTGGTTGTCTGAGAATGGGATAAGATGTCGGCCAAATCATCGGTTATAAAATTCGACTAAATAAATCACAAAGAATATATTTGTAAAGCAACATTGAGAAAAACGTATACAGCGCAATGTAAGTTCTGCAGTGCTTCACTATCAGAGACGGTAGGGACTACGTCCAACTTTTATCGACACCTTGAAAGAAAGCACAAAGAAAGGTAAGCTACGTACATATTTAAAACATTATGTTGTGGCAGTATGTTGAGAGACCGACAAGCTGTGAAAACATTGAGCACTTCTGCCTTTTCTCCATGTTCCATCTGATTCAGCGACAGGGTCTTAGAACTGAAAAAAGTCAGTCAAGCTTTTGTGCACGTATTTCAGTGGGGTTTGTATTTCCGCAGATGTCAGCAGTAGTTCAGGGAGGAAGTGAAGGAGATCAATTAATTTTTTTCAACAAATTCTCTGTCTCATAACATATTTTTACAACTTGGTGACAGATATGGATTTATTTAAGAAAAGTTATATAATATAGCTTTAATCTGTATATGAGAGAGAAACAAGAGAAATGATTGACATTTTTTCAGTTTTACACATTTGCACATTGTTTTGAAATAGCACATTTAAAAACAACATAAATGTATGTACTGTTTATGAAAGGCAGAGAAAATACTATTTTGATCGACTTTGATTAATTGTTTGAAATTCTGTGATTACTACACAGAAGTACTAAATAAAGATGTTTATTCCAGTTCTGTGTGTTAAATATCAAGGTGTTTTTATGTTAATGTGGGTCTTTTAGATCAATTTTAGTGATTTTGATCATGTTTCACATTTTATTGTCACATACTGGCGCTGGTCTTGGTCTTAACTCGGTCTCGACTTCCCTCGGTTTTGGTCTTGACTTGGTCTCGGGTGAGGTGGTCTTGACCACAACACTGCTTGACTTATAAGTTTTGATATGCTCTGCACCATGAAAAAAAGCAGAGATACCCTGAGGGCTAAAAATTAGAAAGGATTAGACTGGGACTGGTATTATGCAGTACCATCGCATATTGCCCCCCTTAAAGCACTGAGAGATAAGACTTTTACCGGCAGCCAATGATGGAAACACTGCATGTTTCATTTCAGGAACAGGACGCTTGCTAGAAGGCAAGACATTGATCACATTGGGGTTTATTGAAGCGAGCCACAGCCTTCTTTGCTTTGCTTTTTTTCACGACAGCCAACACATGAGTCCAAATGGAACTGCCTTTAGTCTAACCCTATCTGATTAAGAGGCTCTGTGTTTACTTCAAACACAGAGCTTATTGACGAACACATATTTTAAAAACATTCGCTGAGACAAGCGTAGCCACTATATATATATTAGCTGCAGGTTTGTCCCCTTCCCAATGGTCAAATGCAGATGGATGAGATTTTACAGCACATAAGTCTGTGTACCTTTTTAAAACTCAGAAACTTTCATTTAGAGCACTGTGTGGTTATTTCATATCTTCAACTTGCACATTTTGGAATAAAACAAAAATTATTCTTCTCAGAAATACATGGAATCAGATATTGCCTTTTCCTCACATTGTGCAGCTTAAAAAGAAATTTAAATGTGTTCTTCATTATCTGACTCGGATTAAAGTGTTTACTTTATGTTTGACTTAATGTAGATAAAGGCTATAAAGAGGATTCCCAGCATTATTATTTTTTTTAAAACACAGAATAAAGTTAATTTGAACACAACTTAAAAAGTACATCGTCAGAAGGACTTTGCAGTTCCACGGTTTCTAAAGCTGAAGGGTTCAAATCCTCACCCCCCGCCTCATGAACAGAATGCGCTTAAAATGCAATGACTAATAAATGCAGCAGATGATTAGGAAGGTGTTTGGAAGGAAATTAACATATTTTCATAATCTTTTAAAAATTTTTTTGCTGTTATCCAAAGATATGTTTAACTGCAGTCTCACCGTAACAATCAGGCCCCTCTCCTGGAAGTACTTGACCAGAGGAATCGTGTTTTGTTTGAAGTTGGTCAGGCGACGGTCGATGGCCTTTGGATTATCATCGGGTCTTCCCTGTTGCTCGGCTCTCTTCTGCAGCCTCTCCTTCAGACGGCTGTTGGTGCAGGCCAGGAAAACGACAAGGTCTGGAGTACAGATCTGCACAGATAACAGAGATGTGTGGAACTGTTAGCAGCCGGTTCTCAAATGCTAGGAGAAGGTTTCATTCATGCATACAGTGCTCAGATCATTTAGCAGAGAGAGCAGCTGCAAATCCCAACAGTCAGGCAAAAAAGTTAACATGTTTAGTCACGGTCTTGGTTCTTGTTTAAGTTTTCTTTTGAGTTTGCAGTTTCACTTTAATCCATGTTTTTCTTTGTTTTTCTAGTTTTATTGGATTAATTCATATTTTGTGGTGTTTTTTCTGGATATATTTGAGTTCTTAGGTTGCCCTTTGTTGCCCTCTTGTGTTGGTCTCCTTTTCCCTAGCTCCTTTCTAGAATCCTCTGTTCACACCTGCCCCCAATTAGCTCATTAGTCCTGTCTTTGTTCAGTCTCCCATTTATACTCTTCCTGTGCTGGTTCATCTTTTCCAGGCTCCTCATACTTGCTTTTCCTGACGTCTCCATGGTTCTGTTTTTTTCTTTATTTTTTATGTTGGATTTTTGGATTCCTGCTCAGTTGCCTGTCAGTACTAAATTAAATCTTCAAGAACTCACCTCTGCCGCATTGCCTCTGTATTTGGGTCCTCAAAACCTAAACCAAACCCCAACATGTTTAAGATGAATTTCTTAGAAAAAATAAGGAACTCATTGTTAAAGAAGACAAAAATATAAACTTAGCTGATTTTCTTAATTTTAAATCCCTGTGTGAGGGACTGAAGCTCATTGTTTTTAAAATCACCTGCAGCTGCTCTAGAAAATACATGGTTTTATTACAGCCAGTATCAGCTAGATTCTGAACGCCAGCAGGAAATTTTTCAGTTTGTCTAATTTGCAAAAAATAAAAAACAAAACACAAAAAAAACCCAGATTATACTATGACCTAAACTAATGGTAAAAAGATTTAAATTTCAAAAACCAATAAAAAAAAGATGACACATTATTTGAGCCAGTTAATAGACTAAAACCACAGCCAACAAGTTTCCTATCAGTGACATATAGCTGTGATTTTTAATTCACATATTTGCAAGAAAGAACATTTTCTAATTTTGAACAGCTGTAAATTTGAAAGAAAGATGGTAACTTATCATGAAAAGACATACACTATATTGCCAAAAGTATTTGCTCACCTGCCTTGACTCACATATGAGCTTAAGTGACATCCCGTTCCTAATCCATAGGGTTCAATATGACGTCGGCCCACCCTTTGCAGCTAGAACAGCTTCAACTCTTCTGGGAAGGCTGTCCACAAGGTTTAGGAGTGTGTTTATGGGAATTTTTGACCATTCTTCCAGAAGCGCATTTGTGAGGTCGCACACTGATGTTGGACGAGAAGGCCTGGCTCTCAGTCTCCGCTCTAATTCATCCCAAAGGTGTTCTATCGGGTTGAGGTCAGGACTCTGTGCAGGCCAGTCAAGTTCATCCACACCAGACTCTGTCATCCATGTCTTTATGGACCTTGCTTTGTGCACTGGTGCACAGTCATGTTGGAAGAGGAAGGGGCCAGCTCCAAACTGTTCCCACAAAGTTGGGAGCATGGAATTGTCCAAAATGTCTTGGTATGCTGAAGCATTCAGAGTTCCTTTCACTGGAACTAAGGGGCCAAGCCCAGCTCCTGAAAAACAACCCCACACCATAATCCCCCCTCCACCAAACTTTACACTTGGCACAATGCAGTCAGACAAGTACCGTTCTCCTGGCAACCGCCAAACCCAGACCCGTCCATCAGATTGCCAGATGGAGAAGCGCGATTCGTCACTCCAGAGAACGTGTCTCCACTGCTCTAGAGTCCAGTGGCGGCGTGCTTTACACCACCGCATCCGACGCTTTGCATTGCACTTGGTGATGTATGGCTTGGATGCAGCTGCTCGACCATGGAAACCCATTCCATGAAGCTCTCTGCGCACTGTTCTTGAGCTAATCTGAAGGCCACATGAAGTTTGGAGGTCTGTAGTGATTGACTCTGCAGAAAGTTGGCGACCTCTTCGCACTATGCGCTTCAGCATCCGCTGACCCCGCTCCGTCAGTTTACGTGGCCTACCACTTCGTGGCTGAGTTGCTGTCGTTCCCAAACACTTCCATTTTTTATAATACAGCTGACAGTTGACTGTGGAATATTTAGGAGCGAGGAAATTTCACGACTGGATTTGTTGCACAGGTGGCATCCTATCACAGTTCCACGCTGGAATTCACTGAGCTCCTGAGAGCGACCCATTCTTTCACAAATGTTTGTAAAAACAGTCTGCATGCCTAGGTGCTTGAATTTATACACCTGTGGCCATGGAAGTGATTGGAACACCTGATTCCAATAATTTGGATGGGTGAGCAAATACTTTTGGCAATATAGTGTATACATTTATGATAAAACGTTGGGTACTTTATTTGGTAAATTTAGGAGACCCACATCTAAATAATTTCAGACATAATGCAAGAATGGCAGCTTTTTCTTTGTTTCAGAGGTATATTCAATATCATCTTTACATCTGATGTTTAAACCTTGTAAAATACCCACATGTGCATCGTCATAAATTTATGACTTGATTCTAGAGAATCTATAATAGTTTTTCATTTTCAAGCTCAGGGAATATCTTAGATTTTAAACCTTTATTTATGTCTTTAGGCACAGATAACTGCCTTCTTGACTGACCTACAACTTTTTAGCGTAACTGAATAGAATTTTATTATGAATATTTGAAATTCATAGGGTAATAGGGTTTCTTTGGGGTAAGAATTTACTTATCCTTTTTTGATTCTCTTTTTTTGTATCGATAAGTGCTCCATAGTAGAAGAAAAATCAACCAAGAATATTCCACAATTTATCAGTGTTTAACGAAATATGTTCTCTTACTGGTCTGGTATAAGTGCTGCAGTCATTTTCTTGGCAAATTGTGTAATAACTTTTAGAGAAGGATAGATTCAAACAAACAGATGAACAGAAAACATCTTCTACGTGAATAAACGAGGTTACAGAGTTATAAATAATAGATAAGGGAGCAGATATAAACCCTTCATTAAAGTAAATTGCTACCCCAGCCTTAAATAAAAAAAAAACTACAGGAGATTTTGTAATATACAACACGGATTGGATCGACAATGTTGGAGCATTAACTCAAAGTGTGTGTCAGCTATTGATTTAAAACATAACAGTAAAAATTATTTTCGTTTTTTATCCAAGACACCAGGAAGCTGATATTCAAAAAAGAACGTCTGTGATATTAAAAAGGGTTCTTTTCCCAGAGAGCTTTAAAATCATTCTGTAGGTTTTGATACTAAAATCCAAACTGAACAGAAAATCAGTGCAAAAAAAAATCAAAACAAGGCTTGAATCAATGTGCTGCATTAACAACCAACCTCCTAGTTGTTAGAGTATTATTGACAGGTTTAATGAAGATGTCGAAAAAAAGAAATATTTCCTACCTAGAACGGAGAGGATATAATATATAGATAGACAGATTTATTTGTCATTTTGTTTACACAAGTGTGAAACAAAAAGAAATTTCATTTTGGAACAGCTCTCTGGACAATTTCATCTTTTTTAAAAGTGCAGCCTTGAAAAATAGTAATAATGACAATAGGACACATTCTTTTCTTACAAAAAAGAAAAATGAACTGTCCCCATTCTCTAAACTAAACTAGAATGTTAGATAATTTTTTTATTAAAGTTTCAGCCGGAAGGAAACAAACATATTTCGTAGAGGGAAATTAGTAATGGGGTGATGGTGGTCAGTATGTAGAGCTGGGGTCTCCAACCCAGCTGAAAAGGCTCATCATCATTTATACATGTAAATAAATAAAAATTATAATATATGGCAGAAACTGCAGAGAAGTCTGAAGTGTCTAGTTTCAGGTAGTCAGCATCCCGGTGGATAATCCAGGTCCATAAAAGCTCACCTACACTTTAGGTGATTTTTCCCAAACGTCAGTAATATTTACATTCAGCTTGTAATGAGATATATATATACGGTATGTGATATTGCTGGTGAAAAAGCTTACGCTGACAGAAGTTTGGGTTGGGGTTCACCCTTCTTTCTCCCCTGTGCCAATTTTCCCAAATACCAAAACGTATTAAAAGCTTTGAGTCCTCTATGGTTTATTTTTGGTGTTGCTTTTTAAATCCCTTCAAAACATTGCTAATAAACTTGGCTCTGCATATAAACAGTCTGTGTAGGTTCAGATATAAAACAGCGCTGTATTTTCAGCACATGTAAAGTTACGCCACCTATCTACAGGCATTATTCAGGCTAAATTAGCGAAGACTATTACCTGTACAGTCAGTGCAGAAGGATGCCCCTTACACCTGTTCATCTAGCTCACTGGAGCAGGAAAGTTTACAAACTGTTTTATTTCTATTCGTACTGTGTCATTTGGTTTCCCCCTGTATTCATACATACAGTATGTGAAATGTATGCCACTAACACTCCCAAGTCTGCATCTGATCTGGCACACAGCCACAGATAAAAATAGCCTGAAAGAAGTCTACAGAGATGCATGCCACTGTTTTCAGTTAAAGTTTCAGTTTCCATAGAAACCAGGCACACATGCATTTTTCTCATATTAGGCTGCTGATGTGGGGGGTGATACACATTAGTATTGAGAGGTTATTATTCTTTAGAATAATATATGAGAGGAAAGAATTTAACGACATATTTGATTATTTTTGCACTGCCTATTGAGTAAGTTGGGTTTTCTTTAGGAATTAAATATATTTACTTCTTAGAAAATGAATTAAACCAAACACATTGATGGAGCAGATGTCAAACTCATCTCAACAACTAATACCCTTTTAGCGATGTTCTGTTAAATGCACTCACTGAAATTGAAACAGCTGAAACCCGACTAAATTACTGCTGTTATACAGTCTTTTTGTTTGATGTTTGCTCTTTTTTCTTAAAACATTAGTAATTTCTCCTAGAGAATCAGCTACATAACTTTCTTCAAAATACTAGATAAGGCACTTTGTAAAATAGCTAATTCAATTTGGTTTACAAAACTGCTGAA